AAGCCTTGAAGTGCGACAGCAACTTGACTTATAACACACATATATCTCTCTGCCAACAAGGATTTGTGAACATTAAAAATATGTTGTTCTGATTAGAAGCTGCATGTAACTGAATGCCTATTTTGGCACCATGCTAAGGGATGCCTCTTTTGTTTCTGGCTTATTCCAAGCTCCCATCTCTCTCAAAAAAAATTACATGATAGGAGAAGCAATGAAAAGGGAGGCTAATTCATCTGGGTGCACTAATTTTTGATGGTCAGCTCCACAAAAAAAAAAAAACAGGTGCATCTGACCTCCCAGTTCATTGGGAAAATATCAAAACCCTATGGAAGTAACGGGAACACCGTCAGTACACGGCACCTAAATGTGACCTCTAACCCCCTCCCAGGGCACACAGGCAAATGAAAAGCAATCCCAGGCCACTCAAGACTCAACTGAAAGAGACGCTGTCTACCCCGTCCTACTGAGGTCTGAGCCACTGGCTCATTAAGCTTGTTTTCTTTTTTCCCTATCATTTAATTTAGGAAGGCTGGAAGAAGGCATTTAATGATTTTCCGAAGTATCCTCTGTCCAAATAAGACCTTCCTTAACAAGAATCATATTAAATATTTCAAGAGAGACTGGTTTCTTGCTAAACAAAGCTTGATGATAGAGTGCTTATTCATGTTTGTCTTCCACAGGACTTCCTATAGCCCACCAGGTATCTCCACTCTGCTGACAAATTCACTCTCGTTACAGGTCGTGATTATTGTGTATTCTGTCCATATCCCTTGAGCTGTATCTTTGCTCATGGAGACGTCCTGATCAGAGCGAGCCAATTAGAAATTCTGAAATTTTCAAGAGACTTTTAAAATTGTCTTTTACTCAGGTTTTTTTTTTTCCTGAGTCTTTATGAATAACATTCACTCCTACTTACATAAAAATTATTTTCAAGTAAATCATTATGACTATCTTCAATTTGCCTTTGGAATCTGCCTATGTGAGATTTGAAATCAAGAGGCCGAGAGAATTGAAAAATCTTAATATAAGACTTTCCAAGATCCTCATAGTGGTTGCACTTCATTTTTCTTCTTGGATAGTTTAATAAAACTAAGACTCACTGGACGGGGCCAGTGAGCTACAGGAATATGAGTTTTCACTTAAAAAGTAATAATAATAAAAACAATGCAAGTCACTAATGCAGGTTCGGGATGTCCTGTGACCTCCAGTCCACGATTTGTGTAAATCTGGTGTCATGTGGGGAAAGTAATAAAAAAATAAGCAAAGTTTCGTTAGGGAATATCAGAGTAAAGCATTTAAGTGAAAACTTATAGGAAAATATTTTTTGCTAAAGTAATACTGTCACTTACCTAAACAAACACACTTAGGTAAAACAGATGCTCATAGAAATTAAAAGTTGTAAATTTTCTTTCTGTTCTGAAACAATTGTTCAAACATTTTCTAATCCATTCTGTCAGTCTTTAAAAACTGCCTTATATATGTTTAAAATGACCCTGAAGAGTCTAACGACCTCTTGTCCCTTTACAAAATAAAACGTCACACTTCCAACCTTAAAAGTTTGTGAAAACCTTTTTTAAAATAGCAAAGCATTTCTGTATTACCTGAAAGATTTACCATTAAGCCATAAATTCTTCAAATAAAAAAGACCAGGAAGTGGATAGCGTGTCAGAGCACAAAGAAGAATGAGGACAACTCATATTGCCTCCTCATACCAATCCTCACCTTCTCCCTCCACTAGTAAAACCAAGTACAGATACTAAATCGAATTTTCTTCCTCTTTCCACCACCTCAACAACGGCTGTCTTCCAACATGGTAGAATAAGCCTGATTCTGTTCATGATCTGGGTACCCCTGATTCCCAGTCCACATATCTTGTCTTGATTCTTTTCCTTAAAACACATCCCAAGGTTCCACCTGCCTGGTGAGCACCACCATACAGATGTCCCAACCCACCTTCAAAGGCCTCATGACCCAAAACAAACATACCCCAGTTCCAACCCCAATGCTGCTCCTTGCTCCATGTTCCTGGGTTTTATTAATGCATCACCATCCTCTCAACCACAGAGTGAGCTCTGAGGCAACCAGTTAAAATTCAGATGGAGCAAATTACCTCTCTAAGCCTGTTCCCTTTTCTATAAAAGCTGACGATGACCTACTTTAGATGACTGCCGGGGGATTAAATGAGATAACAATAAAGTAGGCACTTTATCATTAGATATTCCCCTTCCTCACTCTCTATACTTAATTGCTGGTCAAGGCCTATCAACTCTGCGAACCAAATGTCTCTACAATCTTTCCTCTATCTTCTATTCCTACCATCATTGTCCTGGTTTGGACACTCAGCATTCCTAGCCTGAACAACTGCAAGCTCTTGGACTGGTCACCTTGCTCCCTTTCCTCTCCAATCTGCTTGCCTATAAGCTCCATGAGATAGGAGTATAATGAGTCTTAGTCTTTTTGTCTACTTTCCCAAAACCCAGCACAGTGTCTGGCACAGAGTAGGCATTCAACAAACAGTTCTTGGCAATGCTGACTGGCTCCAAATTCATCATCCAGACCCAATGAAGCCATGCTCTAAGAAAAACCTCAATCCCATGAGCACTGAAGGAAGTCCTTTGCATACTGACTCATCACAACCTTACTCTCAGAGGCCCATGGTCACAAAATCCCTATTTCTCCCCCTAGAACCCACTGTGGTATATCAATGTGGAGGCATTGGATCCAGATACACAGTCAGTAAGCAAAAATGTGTATTCGACATAGCCAGAAAATCGTAAGACATGTTAAAAAACAATAAGTGAATAGTAAGTAGAGCATGTATATGTTAAACACAGAAAAAAAGAGATTGAAGGACCAAGAGATGACTAATTTTCAGTAGCTATTAATCATACATGAGGCACCTGGGCTCTAAATATTCATGATACACTAAATGTACAAGAGGCAGTACATATTCACGAGTACTCAATATTCATGAGGCCTTAATTCAACCACTCATTCATTGGTGACACCTATTCTGGCCCCATGTGTCCTTTGCTCAAGAAACACAAACAAAACCCATGACTATTCGGCAAGCTTAATGGCGAACAAGCTGTGCTCAGGCCCACTTATCCTTGCATCTCTCCAATAGAGTAAGTGTTTCCCATTAGCCTGAAGTTCCTTCTGTCTGTGGTCCTCCTTGCTTGAACTTCAACTCTGGTCTCCAAACCACACTGTTAGTAGGAAAGGCTGATGCAGCAGAAAGAGAGAGACAGGATCACTGCTTGTCCCAGGATTCAGGCAGGGTGGTCCTTCCACCGACTTGGACCATGTCCTAAGCGTGTGAACCTACCCCATCTTTTCCCCTTGCTTCTCACTGTGTGTTTTAAATTGTTTTAATGCATTGTGTGATTTATGCATTTTAATTTGGTCCACGAGACTTGCGTTCTGTGGCCTCTGGGAAAGCCTGCATGCATGCTTCTTGGAGGCCACCACTGCATCAAGGTAATACCCACACAACACTCTGGCTGCTGTGTAAAGAGCAGATTGTAGGGGAAACATAAATGAAAGTAGAGAGACCTATTAGGCAGCTATTCCATTCTTCTACTCAAGAAATGAGGGTAGCTGGGTTAGGATGGTAGCAAAGGGGATAGAGAGACACGGACAGATTCAGGACATGTTTTGCCAGGAGAATGAAGAACAAGGATGGTGGGTAAAGTAAAAGGAGTAGAGACTGTAGTCAGAGAAGGCAATTTCAGAGTCTAAGATATCGGAGATGGCAATACTCCAAAAGAGACAACAGCGTACCCAAGAATCATGGTTCCTCAGGCATCAAAGGGGCCTTGGAAGGTCATCTACACCAACCACCAAACACACGACTCCCCTCCACACCTCTAAGCTGTCAGTGAAAAATAACCCCTGACATGCCCCCAGGGCCATCCATCTATACCAACGACCAAACAAATACGTGATTCCCCTCACTTCCACCCCTATACCTGACCCTGACCCCCATCCTCATCTAGAGCCATCCACTACAACTTTCAACAGCTCTCTGCCAGAAAATTATTCCTCTTACTGACCTGAATTCTGACCCCCTAGGTCCTGTCCTTGAGGATACAGAAAATTAGGTCATACCTCCTCCACACGACAGCCCTTTAGATTCCTGAAGACATTTATCAGGCACACCTGAGTCTTTACTGATAAATATCCCTTTTTCCTATTCTGCCTTACACATGACAAATTTTCAGTCCTTTCACCATCCTGGTTGCTGTCCCCTGAAGGCATCCAGAACTCAGCATTGTCCCAAGTGAAGAACTCAAACAAAAACAGGAGAAATCAGTCACCTCCCTTGATCTCTGCCATATTTCTATTCAACCTAGGATTAGCTTCCCTGGTGGCCATATCACAGAGTTAACTCTTATCTGGCTAAAGTGGAGTATGGATAAAGATGACTGGCATACGTGAGGTGAAGGAACAATGATCCTCTGTTGAAGTAACATCAAAGTCTGTAGTTAACAGGTATCAGGATGAGAAGAGGGTGGTTGAAGCAAATGGCAGTGAATTCAAGAAAGAAAAGAGAATACCAATCTGGAAGTGGCAGTGAAGAACAGTTTTCTCTATTCCCCCGAGGGTGCTCTGAAGGAAGTGATGTGGTCACAGCAAAAAGACCAAAGAGTTTGAAGAAAAACGTCAAAGACACAGGAGAGTTTGCTCATACTAGAGCAGCACCTAAAAGGATACCAGTTGAAACAGCTTCCTTAGGCTTATGTACCACGTTGTATGATTAATACACATCTAGGACACCACAGAAGAGTGAGAGAAATGGCCAGTGTTGACGTGTTGGAGGGTAGAAAGCTGGTAAGTCAACATCAATAACTACAAGCTAACAGCATGTTTATATTCACCACCGCCAACAAGTTAGATACCTAAGCAGTAGCATAGGGTCTTTTAGAAAGCTAGAGAAAGACAGTATACAAAGACAGGAGTTAGAAGTGAAAGAACCATAATTCTGCTTTAAAAGATACCTTGAGGCAGTCCGCTATTTTTCAACTCTGGTTCATTTACTTGAATTGTGTCATCTTCAAGGTAGAAGTAGATTTTATAGCGTCTTATTCTATAGTTTTCTTGACTTTTATCAGCTACTTCATCTTCTAAATAGGCATCAAAAGATAATACCTGTTGGAATCATAATTAGAAACGAAGAAATAAAAAAAAATTCAGGAAACTTAAAATAAATAAAGCTACTGGCCATATACTTGTTAACATAAAGAAAAAAATTGAGATTTTTTTGCAAGAAGACATCCTCACATCAGCTATGAGAATGGATATATGACCTAGATTACAGTATATAAAGATTATTTTATATTTTCATCACCGTCTGGTTACAATGAGGAAATGACAGCCAAGCAATAAATCCATCATTCAGCTCTACCATAAATTTAACTAGCATCTGTCTCTGGAATTTCACAGTGGAATTCTATATGCATATGTTATAGAAGACAAAATATTCTTTCTCACACGATGAATGTAAGTTTTGTCATTTTTTCCCCATTAAAAACAACACACAGCTACCTTGGTTCTAGGATGAAATTATCCTGACTTCTGGTCCTGCTGATTGCTTGCCTTGAGGCAATTCAAACAGGCAGATCTGAAATTCTTCCAATGCACTGGAGACTCGACCATACACTTCTTCAGGAACCTCAAAATGCCTAGCTCAATGCTAGACCCAGTCTCACTGTGTGTTTTGGGAGACAGGGGAGGTGGACATGGGTAGGAGAGGCGGATTCTAAAGTAGTTACAGTAAAAATCAGAAATAGTAAAAAATATCCTTGAAAATTCCTTAACCCCTTTGAAAACTGTGCCTCTTAGTAAGTTCAACAAAGCCCATCTTTCTCCCATGTTTAAGCAGAGGACTGACTACCTCTTCAGTTGAAGACCAGTTGAAACAGCTTCCCTAGGCTTAGGTACCATGTTGTATGAATAATACGTCTCTTTAGCCAGTGGAATCACTCTCAACACGGCGACCTGCTCACACACTGAGAAAGCACATGGTAATTGAGGACAACTGAAGGAACAGTAGATTCAGGCTACCCTTTCAAGCTTGACCAGGGGCACAGACTCCTTTAGAGCTCCATTCTAATATTCCCTTTGCTCTCACTTTTGATCAATTTTCATAATTAAAGTTGCAAAAGTTAATTGTATATATAATACCAGGATAATTCGACATGGACAATATGATATATATGAATGAGTCTATTAGGTGTAATCTACCCTCTAGGGGTGGTCAGTTATCCTAATTAGGGAATATACACTCTGGGAATATTTAGCAAATTTCTATCAGTGTGAAATACCTACACTTCAGAAGTGGCTGAAAAACTGCTTCAGTAGTTTATCTCTGATCAACACAAGAAGCTTTGTTAATTAACATAAAGGATACTAGAAATAAGTTTTAAGTTAGTGAAATTATTGCATTCAAAATGATGGATCAGTTACAGATATTGACCAGGCATTGTCTTTATCAGAACAGGTTCTAAGAATCTAGTAAGCCCAGAGAGCAATACTCTGCAAAATGGCACCTTTGGCTTCATTCCAAAATGGTCCTATGTTCAGCTGCTTGAATTCTTGGGGAATTCATCCGGCCTAATCCCAGTTAGAAGGTTAGCTAAAACCACTACTAGAATGTTGTCATATCTGTGTTGAGTGAACATTTCCACTAAGATGCTGTTGGATGGGTATAGTGTTTCCTTCTGGGGTGATGAAAATATCTTGAAACTAGATAAGAGGTGATGGTTGTACAACATTGTGAATATACTAGATGCCACTGAATTGCACACTTTAAAATGGCTAATGGCTAATTCTATGTTATGTAAATTTTATCTCAACTGAAAGAAAGATGTTGGATGCTGAATAGTGCTGGACACGTTAAAATGGTGAATTTCATGTTATATGAATTATGTCTCATTTACAAAGTAGGAGGGAAGAAAGATGTTGTTGGAACACCTAAAAGGACAAGACAGCTGTTTCACGGAGCTTTGAGTAAAGGCAGTGGGGGGGAGTAGAATATGCCACTCAGAATGTGCCACTTTGGCATGTGGATTATTTTGAGCTGAAGACAATCAGAACCCAGCAGACTCAGACAGAACTTTTTACCTCCCCCTTAACTGTCTAAAAGAATTCAGATAGGGGGCCTGTACCAGGAAGAGAGCTATTACCAGAGATAACTTTTTATATGAGAAAGACTTATCTGCATGGCATGACACACATTTGTTTACCAAACATTTGCTCTTCTCATCTTCCTACGAATTGTCTTCCTCCCCTTTGAAGCCCCAGACCCCTACCGTCCTTCTCCTTAGCTCAAGATGGTATATAAGCCTTCATTACCTGACTGCCAGGGAGTCTCACATTTTTATAGGGCTCCCATATGTATAAAACGTGTTTTTCTCCTGTTAATGTCTTATGTCAATTTAGACCAGTCAAAGAATCTAGAAGGGAAAAGTTTTCCGCCCCTACAGTAGTATTCAATCTAAAACTCTTTTTTTCTTTGTAATTGGGTATGAAAATATGGAGAGAATTTTCATAGCTCTCACCTACATCTATATATTGAATGCTACTGGTATGAATTTGTGAATAACCAAACTGAGATGTCAGTTGACAACATCATCAAGTATGTAATCATGAAATACTTATCAATCAAATAATGCATTAAAAAATAATACAGAATGCTAAATGGAAATAGAGAGACAAGGAAAGACATCATTTTAGGCTGGGCTTCAACATTTCTAGAAGAGGGATAGACTGATATTTCACGTTTTGGTCCCCCGAGAATACAGGGCTGCCAAACTCCAGCATGAAAGCTCACAAGTCAGAGTGGTAAAGATGGAAAGATAGAAAAGGAAAACGGAGAAGAAACTATAAAGTGTAGCAAGTAGAAAGCAAGGGAAGAGACACCAAATAGATTAAAGGTGATCTCACAAAGATAAAAGACCTAATTGCAATGGAACCTGATGTCCCAGAGAATCCAGAGAGAAAAATAAAAATTGCTAGAAATGAAAATTTATAGAAACATAATTATGATTCAAGCTTTCATCACAATTTATGATGCCAAGCACAGACTAGATAAATAATGTCCTAGAAGTTGTAATTGGCTATAATTTTCTTGAAAACGGAAGGTAAATGTCATTTGGCAGGACATGTGATCTTCAGTTCCCCACAGGCCTCTGAAAGCCCTACTGTATCATACGAGGTTACCTGCCTGATCCCTGAGGCATTTGGATTTTGGATCCAACCCTAGTGGATATAAAATATGAAACAAATCAGCTTTAAATAATACATACATGATACTTCCTCATTATAAAGGAAAAACTTTAAATGTTAATATTTCTGAAATCAGGATCTTCTTACAATTAAAGCCCAAAGAAACTCAAAGCAGTCAGGAGTGCGTGTTAACAGAGCACACAGTTGTAACTTAATGTAAGGTGTAAATTTAGCCTCATGGGGAAGGAGTTAATCCAATTTTCATGTCAATTGAGTTATTTGCTTTGCATTACGTATCCCAAATAGGTAGATTTTAACATCAATTTGGATTCCTAATTTTCACTTAAAATGTTTTCAAAATGATTCTAGTCTGATGCAGCATTGACAGAAAAAATAATTGTGTGTAGAAAATTGTCCATTGCAGGCTAGGCAATGCAATCCTAAGGCAAAAGCAAAATCCTAATCTCTCAGAATAAATCAGAATTTTTAAAGATGGCGAGGTTGGTGTGACCAATGCATGAGTCATAAAGACTGTTCAGGAACCAAACATCTAAGTGTCAAAAACTTATAGCTGAATTTCTAGAGAAGCTGTTAGGAAAGAGAAATGAAACACCAGTAATGTTCAATAAGGCTCAACATTTTATAAAGAGATCTGCATCACAAATCTAAGTTTAAAATGTTTAGGTTCTATTTGATGAAAAAGGCTCAGACTTAAATTGTGAGGTACTAAAGAAGAAAAGAGTATATAATTGTAAGAATAAATGCATGCTATTATAGGTTGATTAGTACTGTAGGTGAGAAAAAAAATTTCCTCTACCCCTCAATGGTTCTGTGGCTGGTCTAATAATTAAATTGACATATGACAGATTAACAGGAGAAAACCAAATTTAATTTTGTAGGAATGGGAACCCCATATACATAAGAGGTTCAAAGTCAGAAAGGTAAAATGAGGTATATTTGCCATCTTGAGCCAAGGAATAGGATAGAGGCCTAGGGCTTCAGAGAGGAGGAGAGTAATTCACAGGATGATAAAAAGAGCAGATGCTCAGTAATTAGAGGTTTGCCCTGCCATACAGAAGGTCACAAAATTTATTTCTGGTAATAACTCTTATTATGGGCAAGGCCTCTAATTTAAATTCTTT